AGGTCATTACCAGTAAAGTTCTAGTGAACGCATTACAAACACTTAAATCAAACAAACACTTCAATTGCGATTAAATAGCAAACGATTATTATTAAGCCTTATAAAATAATCATTGTCTCTGTATGCAGGGTGATCATTTAAATCAGTTTAAAAAATATTGCCATCTCTACTAACTAAACATTTTTTGCTAACTTGCTAACATTTAAAACCTGATTTCTAACTGCGTGATTAATTAAATGATTTTACCATGGAAGGTGATGAACCCGATCTTCTTGCTGAAAGCGGCGATCGAGTCATTCAAATGCATCGGGTCCAATTGGGCGCCGTATTTGGCCTTCACCACGTCCAACAATTGGTCGACCAATTTATCGGCATTACCTTCGTTGGACACTTTTAATTTGAAAAGGTTATAATTTTTAATAAATTAAACTTTAACTAAAAAGTAATAAAAGATTCAAGGTAATTAACTTACTGGGTAGACTGTAAGCGGCGGCAACAAATGCCAGGAACAAAATTTTCGACATCATTTTCGAGAATTATAGATCTAGGTGGAAATAAATTATAATTTTAGTAAATTGTTTAAAATTTATTTTACAGATGAATATGTTTTAAAATCAATTAGATATTAAAACTTACCCTTATTTGTTTTATTCAAACTAATTCACAAGGGTAACTTTTCTATTGTGTTTTACCCTTCTTATATACCATGTTTAATTATAATTTGATTTATAATAAATGTATTAACTTGTCCATAAATTACACATAAATAGGGTTATTAGGTTTATAATAAATATATTATTCTAGTACAAATTAATAACACTTTTTAGAATTTTGATATATAATATACTCAACATTATTTATTAATTATTAAATATGTGACTGATAATTATAACTACGTTTGAAAAACAGTCTTATCCACTTCAACAATAAGCTTATATTTAGACTTTTAACGGACCTGTCAATTATAAATGCTGATTATGCTCGGTTTTGTCTGTCAAACTAAAACAATCATGTGTTAGTTTTAATAAAAATAAGATTATAATCATATGCAGTATCTCTTGCGTAGCCACTTTAAAAGTTCGTTTAATCTTGCTTTTTAATACACACAATATTATAAAATGTTATAGTTCTACTATTAATAATATTAGTCTACTAATATAATTTACATAGGTTATATTAATTTTGGAAAAACATTTAAAACTAGTTTATTTATATTTTGTTTATAACTATCATGTTATGTTTTATGATTATATCATTTACTTGTAATAACTATCATAGAATAATGATCAATTGTTGTTTAAATAAAATTTATAATTAAATGCTCAGTGTTCCAGAAAGAAATATGTTACATGGTACAAATAATGTGTAAATAATATAACATGATATAAAGGGTCGTTAAATACATTGATAATATTATTTGCACATGATGTTGTTTGTATTTTGTACTGAACTAATGCCCGTAAAATATAACTATTGTATCTTAAATATATAAAACGTACAAAGTTTAATTGAACCTTGCACCATTAGTGCATAAAAAACAATTATTATTTTTAAGCTTCTATAATAATCATGGTATTTTATCACAAGTCTGAAGTGTTTGTTTAATTTAAGTGTTTATAATTACGTTTTTCAGGACTTGATTGATAATGACCTTTGTTGTTTTAATTAACGATTAATCTATTTTTAAAATCATTTAATTATTTTAAACTTTTTATTATAATTAATTATTTAAAAAACTTAAATGTAATTATTTGTTGTTTTTGGAAAAATTCATCTATAAAAACATCAATTTTAAAAATATACCAAGATTGTTTAATAACGCTTTACATCAAAAAATCAGAAATCTATCAGGCATTAACATGGTAAAATCAGTTTTTAGATTTGACCATCGGGTGAACTGTAAATCGCGTAATACAGAGACCACTGTTAGTTGCTGTATGATTTAATTAAAATTTTTAACAAAGCACTTACTTTGTAATATTTTATTTTATTATAAGCTAATAATTATACTTAATTTATAAATTAATATTTACTTTACAGCCATAGATATTTAGTAAGAGAATTTTATTGTGGACGTTTCTTATGAATACCTTAATGTATTAAACAACATAGTATTTCATTATTAATGACAACATATAATTTTTATTCAGATATTTTAAAGAAGTTTAATTATTTATGATTTGCAATTTGTAGTAAACTGTAACTTTGTTTGCAATTTATTTAAATCAAATTTTATAGCATTGAGTATTTATATTAATTTACTGTTTATAAAGCGTTATAAATTATAATTAATAATAAAACGCGTAAAACAACGTTGTAATACAATTGTAAATTATTTTATCATTGAGATAGTAAATTTGAATTGTCTAAATTATATTATTTTGCTAATTATGATCATAATCATAACTAGAGTTTCCCCTCTCATATAAAATAAATTAAAATGATAATTGTGAAAGGCACAATAAATATCTAAACAACGTATGTATTATTACATTATTAAACAACAATAGCAAAATGGATTATTTAATTATAAAACATCTCGAGTTTAATTAATGAAATAAAAGTAATTCGTGATAATTATTATAGATTAACAAATAATAATTATATAACTAAAAAACAGTATAAATGAAATATGGATAAAATATATTTTTTTTATAAATATGTTTTATTAAAATAAAAATCAATGCTTATTAAATAATAACATGGTCTAAACATAATTAGTCAATAAACAAATTAGCATTTCTATTAGAATCCAAATTGTTTATGATTAAAAAGCTGCATAATTAATATACGCCCACCATTTATAAAGTATACAAATTGCAACACTACACGCACTAGTTGTGCACTTATACTAAATGGTACATGTATGTTATTATGTCATATCTAGACGTGCCCTCATCGGTGTTAACTTTATGTTTTGAGTATTTCTTACATTTCTTACATTAATAACAATTGAATTGTTATTATTTTTAGTGTAATGTTTATAACAAATGTTTTTAATAACATTTATCGCAGAGTTTACGCATAAATCAGATATAAATAGCATTGAAAAACCAAACCATAGGCTGAATATACTGCTAATCAGACACAGAAACTCAACGAATGATAGTTTGGGTGTTTGTCTATATGTGAGCGTTGGTTGTGAGGGCAGCTTAATAGAAAAATAATAAGTGTAATTTCGTACATTGTTGATTGACCATGGCCAAAGAAGTTCTTTCTGTACTAGTTGATAATGTTCTTGGTAACAATC